CTATTCCTCCACTGATATTCCCGATGATGATGGGGCACTATTCCTCCCCTGATACCGATGATGGGGCACTACCACTTCCTCCCACTGACACCAATGAATGGGCACTATTCCTCCCACTGACACCGATGATGGGGCACTATTCCTTCCTCACTGACACCGATGATGGGGCACTATTCCTCCCACTGACTGACACCAATGATGGGGGCACTATTCCTCCCACTGACACCAATGATGGGGCACTATTCCTCCCACTGACACCAATGATGGGGCACTATTCCTCCCACTGACACCAATGATGGGACACTATTCCTCCCACTGACACCAATGATGGGGCACTATTCCTCCCACTGATTCTATTCCTTCCACTGATACCGATGATGGGGCACTATTCCTCCCCACATGATGGGGCACTATTCCTCCCACTGATGATGGGGCACTATTCCTCCCACTGACACCGATGATGGGGCACTATTCCTCTGACACTGAGACACCGATGATGGGGCACTATTCCTCCCACTGCCAACCAATGATGGGGCACTATTCCTCCCACTGACACCAATGATGGGGCACTATTCCTCCCACTGACACCAATGATGGGGGCACTATTCCACTGACACCAATGATGGGGCACTATTCCTCCCACTGACACCAATGATGGGGCACTATTCCTCCCACTGACACCAACGATGGGGCACTATTCCTCCACTGACTGATACACAATGATGGGGCACTATTCCTCCCACTGACACCAACGATGGGGCACTATTCCTCCCACTGTTGTGCATTGGAAGAGGGGTAGTCTTATAGTAGAGCCCAAACACTACATTTTAGCAGGAAAAGTAGGGGGGTCGTCTTATACGCCGGCAAATACGGTATACACTGTTGTGGTCACTTGTTGTTCTGTTGTACTCACAGAGTGACGCACTATTTTTCACATTGCACAGTGTTCACTATTTTTGCACTATTTTGGATTTTTGCAAATTTTTGGGGGGAAGGTATGATATATTTTTTTGTTATTTAAGGTAATACACAATGTAGTATTTTCTTTCTTTTGAGGTGTTTTCTGTCCTTCATGAGCCAGTGGAGGGGCTCAGCACCAAAGAATGTAACAAGCTGGATTTTGGACACTTATTTTGTTGAAGTGCCTTTATTATTTTGTATATATTTTTGAGCGATCTTTTGGAGAAAACCTTTTAATTTCATATTTTTAATTTCATATTTTTGATCATTGGACTGTTTGTTGTGTTTTGTGTTTGAGATTTTAGTTTGGAGTGCAGCACCTGGGTTTATAGTGTGGGGTTTATAGACATATTGGTCTCCTTGATTTAACACTTACGGGACTCGCCACGTCACCAAGTGATACTGCAGTGCTGGTATTATTATTATGGGCAGCACAGTGGCTAAATGGTTAGCATTTCCACCTGGCAGTACTCGGGTCGTTGGTTTGAATCCCAGCCACGGCACCACCTGCCTGCAGTTTGTATGCTCTCCCTGTGCCTGCGTGGGTTTCCTCTGGGTACTCCGGTTTCCTCCTACACTCCAAAGATATGCTGGTAGGTTAATTGGCTCCTGTCTAAATTGGCCCTAATATGTGTATGTATGAATGTGAGTTAGGGACCTTAGATTTTACACCCCTTGAGGGTCAGGGACTGATGTGAATGTACAATATATATGTGTAAAACACTGAGTAAATGGACGGCGCTAAATAAATAAATAATTATTATTATTATACAGGATTTATATGGCGCCAACAGTTTGCTCAGCACTTTACAATATAACGGGAGACAATACAGCAACAATACAGTTCAATAGAAGAGGGTTAGGAGGGCCCTGATCCTGGGAGCTTACAATCTAAGAGGTATGTGAAAGACCAGGATGTACTAGGCCATTAGTGCTCACCAGTTCACCAAAAGGTAGCGTGGCACTAGTACTGGAATGCATATGAAAGTCATCAAAATGTATCGACAAGTTCTAACAGAGATCAGGCCTGATTCTGCCAACACTGCGGCATTGTGTGCAATGTATCAAGTGACAGTGACCTACTGACACTTCACTTGCTGGGGGGAGAAGGGGGGGGGGGTAAGCGTAGGGGCTAAACGCAGGTGCCAGGGCTGATCCCGCTAATGCTGCATTTTTGGGGACACTATGCAAATGTGAACACTGGTATAGTGCTGATCTGATCAAAAATATTGATCCGTTCAGACACTATACTAGCAATGGAGGTTTATTGTGCATGAGCGTCTTCCTGGCAATCAAGGGGTTAAATGTGATTACTGGTGTACTGATGGGCAATCTGACGCCATCTGGGAGGGGTGTGAAAACCACTGGAGCGTGAATCACGTATATATATATGTGATTTTGCGCACCCGTGCCGCCCTGTAGCAGTATTTCTGCTATAGGCGGTCAGAAAGCGGTTACAGAAGTGGTTTGTGTGTTACGTCGCTGCGTTACTTTAACTGACAATTGCGCGGTCATGCAACGCTGCACCAAAATTAAATTTACGTCCTTTTTTTCCCCACGAGTTGAGCTTTCTTAAGGTGGTATTGTATTGATTGTGTGTTTTTTATTTTTTGCGCTTTAAAATAAAAACTAATTTAAGAAAAAAAAACAATATTTTGGATTTTTTACTATAAAACATGTCCAGTAAAATTTAAAAATCAAATTTTTTTCATAAATTTAGGCCAAAATGTATTCTGCGACATGTCTTTGCTAAAAAAAAATCCCAATACGTGTAAGTGAATTGGATTTCGTGAAAGTTATAGCATCTACAAATGGCGGGAAAGATACTGGAATTTATTTTTTATACTAAAAATGGCGGCAATCAGTGACTTATGGCAGCGATCAGCGACTTATGGTGGGACTGTGAGACTGTGGAACTGCGGCGGACATTCGGACACACTTGGGGGGAACTGACTTGGGGTCACTGACATCCCCAGTGACACCAATACAGTGATCAGTGCAAAAAAAGAAAAAACACTGACACTGTACTAATGGCACTGGGGAGGAAGGGGTTAACATTTTTAGGCAAACAAAGGCTTAACTGTGTGAGGGGAGTGTGTAACTATGGGGGGGGGGGTGTTCTTCACAGGAACACACTGATCCAGAACGCTGTGCTCTGCTCTCCAGAACAATGTACTGGAAACTGACAGGGAGGAGAGCTGCAGTGTAAACACTGCAGCCGTCCTCTCTGTCAGTGATTGCCGGTAATCGCCGGGCTCTGGCAGGTAATCACTGGCCGGGACTCGGTGATTGACACCCGTGGCCACGATCGGTGGCGCGGGTAGGGCGGTTGCGCGCCTCGTGCATGTCCCCTACCCGAAATGCAAAATCACGTATAGATACAAAAGTGGTTTGTTCTGAAGCCCTTTTTGTCTTGAAAACTCACGTATCTGAGAATGCAATTTCAGTAACTTTGTCTCAATTAAAAGACGGTGTAACGTACATGTGACATGATGTAACGTGCATGTGACATAAATGTACAGATTTGAGTAGATAAGATGTGATCAGTAGCAATATGTAATCGTAACCATAGTGGCATTCCATTGTCATTGTCAAGATATATTCAGTCAGAGGTACTCAGAGGGTCATCAATTAGCTCATCAATTAGCATTGTGACACCTGCGTGCTAATAAGGTTTTGTCACCTTCTGGTGAAACCAGTTTAAAGGAAATGGCTTCATGACAGCAGGGGTATAAACTGTTGGGTGGTGGCAGGCTACCTTTTGTGGTGTGTCTGGTGCGGGGGGGGGGGGGGGGGTGTGGACAGTGGAAGGGTGATTAACACTGGCTGTAGGATAGCTGGAGGGACTCTAGAAGGGTGTGTAATTGCTAAGCTGGTCCTCAACTCTAATCAGTGCATCAGATTGTATGTAAGATTTGTATCTGCCGGTGTGTGTGTGTGGTCGACCAGCTGGATTGGAGTGGAGTCTCTATCTGGTGGTGGCCAAAAGGTAGTGCGGGCTGTGAAAGTACATCACGGCAGATCTTATATACGGTTTTATATATTCAAAGTTAAGTCCCCTTTATTCCCTCGTACCCCAAGTCAAGCGCCTCAGTTAGCTAGTCGCTGTGGGGGCGTGGCATGCGGGGGAATCCATGACAGAAGGTAATGAGAGAATAATAAGCTACTTCTCCAGAGTTTTATCATCATTGGAAAAAACATTTGTGTCAGATGTACAGCAACTGCTAAGGGCTCCATGTACACGGGATGTATGGAGAACTCTTCTGAACGATGGAAACTGACTGCTTTAAAACATAGGTTAAAAAACATCAGTTTAGCCGCGTTTGCATACCGCGTTTATGTGCGTTTGCGTTTAGAAGCGTTTTTAAAAGATAACCTCAGGAGACCTTCCCAAATGCTCAGAATGCACCGAAAAACAGTAAATAATTAACTATTTCAGACATTTTGAGAGAAATAAAGAGAGCAGAAGCAGAGAGAGCAGTATGTGTGGAGATGACCTGTCTTTTCTGGTTGTATTCACTATGGATCCATCATGAGCATAATGCGTCGCGTTCTACCATTTTTTCCTTCACACGAAACCTGGAACTGACTGCTCTGGTCAAAATACGATTCCTCCTGCGCTCCAGGACCCAGGCCGGTGGCGAGTAGGTGAAATCAAAGCCAAATGAAACGACCACCAGAGCATGAAAGGTCGTGCAGCTCCAAAACAAAGCTGGGGAAGCCCGAACAATACTGCAAAGTGAAAAAAAAAAGAAGCGCACCAACCTTGCACATTACCTCAATAACCAAAATTTATTAGTAAAGGAATGGTACTCACAAACAGCGAATAAAAACAGGCATATAAGTCCTCCAAGGGACTTCAGAGACAAGAGGCCAGCGCGAATCCCATCATGGGGGTAGACACTCAGTACAGCTGACGCGTTTCGAAGGTCGGACCGCTTCCTCTGGTGTACCGGGTCCATTTGAACATATGGGAAAACGCTTTGCATGCATTTGTGATGATGAAAAAAGGCTCCAAACAGCATCTGGACATGGAACAGTTAACCACTTCCCGTCTGGCCCATGTATATAAATGTCCTCCCCGCTCCCTGCTTGTGCATGCTCCCTAGGAGCGCACTGCACCGCGATCCGGTGCCCACTGTGTCCTCCAGGGCCGTTTAGAAACGTCCTCCCCGCTTCCCTGCCTGTGGGCACTCCCTAGGAGGACACAGTGGAACACCAATTGTTGTACGGGACCTCTGTGTGAGGTCCCGATCATATGCTCACTGATTGGCCAATCAGTGATCACATGAAGAGTAGTAAGCAAGATGTCACTTCTGACATCATTGCTTACTACATGTGAAATGTGTGAATGAACACCGAGGTCACATGGTACAGGGCTATTCACAACATCCTTGTACCATGTGACAAGCTGTGACCAATCACAGCTCACACAGTATTTCTCAATGGCTGCAGGAATGCAGCCAGAGAGGAGAAATGATTGCTTTTGCACCCATAAAGGCAGTAAAAGCAATCAGTGTAAAAAAAAAAAAATCTTCATCACCCCTCACAAGTAGTACAGTGTCACTATGGTGACACTGTACTGCTAAGGTGAAAGTATGTAAAAAAAAAAAACCATAAATACTAATATATAAAAAAAAAAAAATGTAAAAAAAAAATGTTTTTGAAAAATTATAATTTTTGGTTATAAACTAATTTGGGTTATTTTTTTTTAACTAAAAAGATAACTGAATACATTTTGATCAAGATTTATGAAGAAAGATTATTTATTTGCAAAATTGTATAAGAAAAACACCTTTTTTCCAAACTTTTTGGACATTTCCATTCATATAGCAAAAAAAATAAAAATCCCAGCGGTGAATAAATACCACCAAAATAAAGTTTTATCTTTCTCAAAAAAATGCTAAAAAAATTAATGTGGGTACAGTGTTGCATGGCCACGCAATTGTCATTCAAAGTGTGATAGCGCTGAATGCTGAAAATTGACCTGGACAGGAAGGGGGTGAAAGTGTCCGGACTGGAAGGGGGAGAAAGTGTCCGGACTGGAAGGGGGGAAAGTGTCCGGACTGAAAGGGGGGGAAAGTGTCCGGACTGGAAGGGGGGGAAAGTGTCCGGACTGGAAGGGGGGGAAAGTGTCCGGACTGGAAGGGGGGGAAAGTGTCCGGACTGGAAGGGGGGGAAAGTGCCCGGACTGGAAGGGGGGGAAAGTGTCCGGACTGGAAGGGGGAAAGTGTCCGGAGTGGAAGGGGTGAAAGTGTCCGGACTGGAAGGGGGGGAAAGTGTCCGGACTGGAAGGGGGGGAAAGTGTCCGGACTGGAAGGGGTGAAAGTGTCCGGACTGGAAGGGGGGGAAAGTGTCCGGACTGGAAGGGGGGGAAAGTGTCCGGACTGGAAGGGGGGAAAGTGGGGACTGGAAGGGGGGGAAAGTGTCCGGACCTGAAGTGGTTAAAAAAAGCTTCTAAACGCAAACGCTTATAAATGTGGTTACATTAGTCTGTTTGAGGATAACGGGGTTAATTCTTAACCTCCCTAGCAGTCTGATTATGTCCATATTTCTGTGCTTTTTGCATGGAAATATGTCTTTTTTTTGTTCTTTGTAGGCCTGTCATTTTTAGCAATAACTCACTGAAATCTGTCCGAACAAGAGTCTAGTAAACATCCCGGGGAGGACAAAATTTGAAACACGAAATCATAAATTTTAATTTAATAAATAATCATAAATAATAATATAATAATAATACATTTAATTCAATAATATAATCAAACCATAAACACTGAAATGTGAAATATAGCGCCAAGTTCGCACATCGCTGAGCAAAGTCGCAAAATCGTTTTCAGTGTCTGACGAGGAATTTCCCCCACCAATCATTATCACTCAATTCTGCAAGTGGTTCTGATTTACTATCGCTGTTCTCTAGCCGATCTAAAACCGCGTCTGACCTAAAGGGACGCTTTTTGGACGCCATGGACGTTTCTCAGTTTCCAGGCAGAAAGGGCGGTAAAAATGCAGGCAGGGCGCCGGACAAAGCACTCGGGACAAAATGTACGTGAAATGGTTTGGTACAGGAATGGAATACTATGAGATTTTAGTGAATGTCATTTTTAAAATGTTTTAAATTTCCCGCCAGTTCCGGCGCCCGTACGTCCCGACGTTCACAGCGACACGGAAGCCGGATGCCGGCATCGGCTGGAGGAGATGGCCGGGGACACTGCAGGGGGGACATCACGGGAGCGCAGGACAAGGTAAGTGAACAAGAGATCCCGGAGCAACGCTGCAGTGTATTCCTGAGTGTAGCTCGGGGGGGGTTACCGCTTGTGGTGCTGAAACTTTACCCCGAGCTACACTCGGGAATACTGCCAGGGGGGTTAATGCCAGCAGCTTGATATTAATTGTGCGCTCACTTGCTATATATTTTAGGTTAACAGCGCTTACAACGCTGATAAAATCTACTCCTGAACGCAAGTTTGGTGCGTTTTAAAAAAAAACGACTGTAAACTCAACTGCCTGTAAAGGATGATGTGTACACAGACACATAGGAGAACATTAGGGAGAGTTCCGGGGCTGCTGAAAAAAAAAAACACCAAAAATCTCCTAAATGTCAGTTTTTCAGCTGCAGTGTACATGAGGCCTAACTGTCTATTATGCAATCAAAGCATCAGACAGCACAGGGAAGCCAATCAGGATTGTGCTGCAGACTCCAGACCAGGGGTGGACTGACAACTCATGGGGCCCCTGGGCATTAGGGGATCATGGGGCCCCTGTGTCCTTGCCCAAACTCAATAAAGCCTATGAAAAAGGTACCGGGGCATCTCACGGGGCCCCCTACTGACCCTGGGCCCTCGGGCAGTGCCCGAGTTTCCAAATGGTCAGTCCACCCCTGGTCCGGACTGATCACTGAGAGGAATTCTGGAGGGAGACGGTTTCAGAGAATGTCACACAGCGATCGGTGTTCCCCCCGGAGGACACAGCGGGCACCGGACTGTGGTACCGTGCGCCCCCCAGGGAACTCGCACAGTCCAAAATGGCGGCCGCCGTTTATAAACGGCAACCATCCCCTGCACTGCCCCCGTCCGGCTGTTTATATACATGAGCTGGACGGGAAGTGGTTAAAAAAACGGTTCTAAACACAAACGCTCATAAACGCGGTATGCAAATGCGGCTAAACGGACGTTTTCTAACCTATGTTTTCCAGCAGTCAGTTTCGGTGAGAAGTGTCCCGTGTACATGGAGCCTCAGAGGAATTCTGGAGGGAGACGGTTTCAGAGAATGTCATGAAAGGAATCCTCTATGGATTAGAGCGGGGGTGGGGAACTGTGGCCCTCCAGCTGTTGGTGAACTACAAGTCCCATCATGCCTCTGCCTTTGGGAGTCACGCTTGTAACTGTCAGTTTTGCAATGCCTCATGGGACTTGTAGTTCTACAACAGCTGGAGGGCCGCAGTTGCCCACCCCTGGATTAGAGCATTGTCAGCCCAACACATTGAGATGGATGGAACAGGCAGACATGTTCCGGAAGACACACGCACACGTATGTAGAACTGTATCAGAGAAGACTTTACCTCACATCTTCAGGACCGAGGAAGGTGCTGAGCCGGTATTATTACTGCACCACAGGCTGACACTACAATGGAAGGAAGGGGGAGGCTGTTTTCAGGCCCCCCGCACTCATGGGTTGTGACATCTGAGGTAGGGGCAGTTTCAAGGCCCCCCTTCCCCTGCTTTCTCCTCAGGAGGTCAGATCACACCTGGTCCAGCTGTAGAAAATCTGCCCGGCAACATCCCCTGTCAGGTGACACAGTTGTGATCCTCCTGGAGACAAGAGAAGTCAGCTGACCCTTGGGAACATTCTGGAAGGTCATATGACCTTTATCCTGGGGTCAGCTGACCTTTTGGAACCTTCCAGAAGGGTGTTAACCTGTATAAAGAGGGGCTCTGTGATTGGCTCTGAGCCGGTCTGCAGACCCCTGGCTATAATAGAGGAGCTGTCAGCAGGGATCGGGGACATGAGGAGCCGGATGTGCCGCCTGACAGAGAGAGCCGGGGATGAAGATGGAGAAGAATGGATGCAGAGGTGCCGCTCCTCTCTCCACTCCCTCCACACAAGGATGGTGAGTCTACTCCAATACAATGACGGGAGCGGTGCAGGGGAGGGGGGGGGGGCGTTTATAAATATAGGACACAGCAGAACACCAATCGCTGTACAGGACCTCTGTGTGAGGTCCCGATCATGTGATCACTGATTGGCCAATCAGTGATCACGAGCAGAGTAGTAAACAAGATGTCACTTCTGACATCATTGCTTACTACGTGTGAAATCTGTGAATGATCACAGAGATCACATGGTACAGGGCCATTCACAACAGCCTTGTACCATGTGACAAGCTGTGACCAATCACAGCTCTCTCAGTGTTTCTCAATGGCTGCATGAATGCAGCCAGAGAGAAGGAGAAATGATTGCTTTTACAGCCTTTATGGGTGTAAAGCAATCAGTGTAATTAAAAAAAAAAATCTTCATCACCCCCCCACAAGTAGTACATTATCACTATGGTGATACTACTGCTAGGGTGACCGTATGTTAAAAAAGACAAAAAAAAACAAATAATAATATAAAAAAATAAAATAATGTCAAAAAAATTTAGAAAAATTATAATTTTTGGTTATAAACTAATTTGGGTTTTTATTTTTACTAAAAAGATAACTTAATACATTTTGATCAAGATTTATGAAGAAAGATTATTTATTTGCAAAATTTTATAGGAAAAACACTTTTTTAAAAAAGTTTGGGACTTTTTCATTTATATAGCAAAAAAAATATAAAAATCCCAGCGGTGAATAAATACCACCAAAATAAAGCTTTATCTGTCTCAAAAAAATGCTAAAAAATTCATCTGGGTACAGTGTTGCATGACCGCGCAATTGTCATTCAAAGTGTGATAGTGCTGAAAGATGAAAATTGGCCTGGGCTGGAAGGAAGGGGGGAAAGTGTCTGGACTGGGAGGGGGGAAGTGTCTGGACTGGAAGGGGGGGGGGGAAGTGTCCGGACTGGAAGGGGGGGGGGGGGAAGTGTCCGACTGGAAGGGGGGGAAGGTCCGGAAGGGGGGGGAAGTGTCCGGACTGGAAGGGGGGGGGAAGTGTCTGGACTGGAAGGGGGGGGGTCTGGAAAGGGGGGGAAGTGTCCGGACTGGAAGGGGGGGAAGTGTCTGGACTGGAAGGGGGGGAAGTGTCCGGACTGGAAGGGGGGGTGTCCGGACTGGAAGGGGGGACTGGAAGTGTCTGGACTGGAAGGGGGGGAAGTGTCCGGGACTGGAAGGGGGGGGTGGACTGGAAGTGTCCGGACTGGAAGAAGTGTCCGGACTGGGGGGACTGGAAGGGGGGGGGGGGAAGTGTCTGGACGGAAGGGGGTGGAAGGGGGGGGGGGTAAAGTGTCCGGACTGGAAGGGGGGGGAAAGTGTCCGGACTGGAAGGGGGGGTCCGGACTGGGAGGGGGTGAAAGTGTCCCAGACTGGAAGGGGGGGAAAAGTGTCCGGACTGGAAGGGGGTGAAAGTGTCCGGACTGGAAGGGGGTGAAAGTGTCCGGACTGGAAGGGGGGGTGAAAGTGTCCGGACTGGACTGGAAGGGGGGGAAAGTGTCCGGACTGGAAGGGGGGAAAGTGTCCGGACTGGACTGGAAAGGGGGGAAGGGGGTGAAAGTGTCCGGACTGGAAGGGGGGAAAAGTGTCCGGACTGGAAGGGGGGAAAGTGTCCGGACTGGAAGGGGGGGAAAGTGTCCGGACTGGAAGGGGGGGAAAGTGTCCGGACTGGAAGGGGGGAAAGTGTCCGTGTCCGGACTGGAAGGGGGGGAAAGTGTCCGGACTGGAAGGGGGGAAAAGTGTCCGGACTGGAAGGGGGGGGGAAGTGTCCGGACTGGAAGGGGGGGAAAGTGTCCGGACTGGAAAGTGTCCGGGGGGGGAAAGTGTCCGGACTGGAAGGGGGGAAAGTGTCCGGACTGGAAGGGGGGGAAAGTGTCCGGACTGGAAGGGGGGAAAGTGTCCGGACCTGAAGTGGTTAAAGTGGTTAAAGAAGCAATGCCTTGTGTCCTGTCACCACTTGGCGTCAGTAATTAAAGGAAAACATTTGCTAGTCACATTGTACTACTCTGGGGGAGGGATCAGGATATTTTTTCCCACACACATTAGGATTGCTGATACCGATGTATTTCATTGATATTAGCAACCATTGTTACTGAATGAAACTGATTCATTCAGTCTTTTGTTGTGATTAGCTGTGATTGGGCAAAGCTCATCACATGGTACAGATGGGCTGTGATTGACCCTGTCTGTACCATGTGACCGCTGTGACCAATCACAGCTAACAAGACAATTGTATACAAGGATGGCATGATAGGAAGCCATCCATTGTATACAATTATCATGTGATCTGCTGTGATTGGTCACAGCTGTCACATGACACTGGCAGCGGGTCGGTTTAGTGATCTGTCATCCTCTGTGTCCCGCGGAAACAACCGATGACAAATCGCACCACTTTCCTGCCCCCCCCGACCGTATGAGTGGCACCTTCTAACAGGATGCCATATGACGTCCACTCAGAAGGAGGAGCTTCCCGCCCGCCCATCAATCTGCTCTAGACCGGGCCTGAAGGTGTTAAGTAATGAAGTAATAAGGAATATCTTTGTGTGTGGACTGATTGCTGATTTTCGTCTCACGGGATCTTCTCTTGAAGGATTTGTATTGGGGTGACAATAGGATCTGTTGCTAGTGAGGCCGTAGTGGGTTGGATGGAGCACCTGGTTCTGGTCAGGTACGGCTGGATTACTCTGAGGGTCTCCCAAGGGGGTGAAATCTGAACAAAGCTTTAACTGGGATCCCTGGGGGCCCCATGCAAGAGAGGCTTTGTGGTTGGCTGCTCCAGCCCTGCAAGAACACTGTCCCCCCAGCTGAGGCCGAACCCTCCGCCATGTTGTGCCCTGCCATAGGCCTCCACACGACATTCCAGGCCATAGACCTTTATATCCAAAGGAAGGAATGTCCACACAAGAAATAGGTTTGCTGCACTTTATTAATGGCATTCAGGAAGCGGCATTACAGTCACATTACAGGACATACATTCCGGAATCACTTGACATTACCCAGTCGGTCACATTTAGCGGACGGTCTGCAGCAGTCACAAATGAAAGCATGTGCAGCACTTCAGCAGTTATCTACCTAAAGTCTCTCCTCTGCTCAGGGGTCATAGTACTCATAGTCAGGGCCATGGATAAGTGGGTACCACCAGTCCTTCTGTACGGGGCCCAGACCAGCAGGGGGGCCCAGGCAGGCAGCTGGGTGAATCAGTTGTGGGTAGGAAGGGTGATCTGCACGGAGGGGGAGGCAACAATTACTGGAACTGATCCCCTGTATGGCTCTCTCTGCAGCAGCTGAAAGCCAGCTCTTCTCTCCCTCCTGCTGACCCCATCTCCTCTGATTGGCTTCCTCATGAACCAGAGAACTTTGATTAATGGATATTTGGCCCCGGGTGACATATCCATATATGAGTGATGATCGCCCCATTTTTTTTCTAATTGAGGAGGGGATTTTGTAATAATTTTGAGGTCATTCTTGAAAAGAAACTTGGAATAATGTACCATCGCCTTGTACCGCTCTGCCTCATTCACTATATCCGCTCTCCCCGGACCCCGCATTCACTATATCCGCTCTCCCCGGACCCCGCATTCACTCTATATCCCCGGACCCCGCATTCACTCTATCCGCTCTCCCCGGACCCCGCATTCACTATATCCGCTCTCCCCCCAGGACCCCGCATTCACTATATCCGCTCTCCCCGGACCCCGCATTCACTATATCCACTCTCCCCGGACCCCGCATTCACTAGATCCACTCTCCCCGGACCCCGCATTCACTATATCCGCTCTCCCCGGATCCCGCATTCACTATATCCGCTCTCCCCGGACCCCGCATTCACTACTATATCCGCTCTCCCCGGACCCCGCATTCACTATATCCGCTCTCCCCGGACCCCGCATTCACTATATCCGCTCTCCCCGGACCCCGCATTCACTATATCCGCTCTCCCCGGACCCCGTATTCACTATATCCGCTCTCCCCGGACCCCGCATTCACTATATCCGCTCTCCCCGGACCCCGCATTCACTATATCCGCTCTCCCCGGACCCCGCATTCACTATATCTGGTCTCCCCGGACCCCGCATTCACTATATCCGGTCCCCCACAGTACACAGAACATGGAAATGCAACGTCCAACCTTGAAGCAGATGGACTACAGCAGCAGAAGACCACACCAGGTGCCACTCCTGTCAGTAAAGAACAGGAAGCGGGGGCTACAATTCGCACAGGCTCACCAAAATTGAACAATAGAAGATTGGAGAAATGTTGCCTGGTCTGATGAGTCTGGATTTCAGCTGCAACATTCAGATGGTAGGGTTATATATTTTGTGTAAAAAACATGAAAGCATGGATCCATCCTGCCTTGTATCAACGGTCTCAGGCTGGTGGTGGTGTCATGGTGTGTGGATCCAACCTGCCTTGTATCAATGGTTCAGGTGGTGGTGGTGGTGTCATGGTGTGGTGGATCTATCCTGCCTTGTATCAATGGTTCAGGCTGCTGGTGGTGGTGTCATGGTGTGGGGGATCCATCCTGCCTTGTATCAGTGGTTCAGGCTGGTGGTGGTGGTGTCATGGTCTGGGGGATCCATCCTGCCTTGTATCAATGGTTCAGGCTGGTGGTGGTGGTGTCATGGTCTGGGGGATCCATCCTGCCTTGTATCAATGGTTCAGGCTGGTGGTGTGGTGTCATGGTCTGGGGGATCCCAGAGTAATTCTTTGCTATAAGCAAATTGTGTAAAAAAAATACTGATCACTTTCCCAAAGTAGTACAATGTTACTATGGTAACATTGTACTACTTTGGTCATAGTGAAATAGTAAAAAAAAAAATCTTAAAAAAAAATATAAAAAAAGTTTAAATTAATAAAAAAAAAATTTCTAAAAATTTAAAAAAAATAGATATTTTTTTTTTCATACTGTCAGTGTCCCTGATCACCGCCATGCCAGTTAAATGATGACGCTGTACTGCACTGGTGACAGTATGTAAAAAAAAATAGTGAAAATTATTTTTAATTTTTTTTAATTTTCCGAAAAATTATGACAAAAAAATACAACTTCAAAAAACTCGCCATGCCTGTTATGAAATACGTCGGACTGTCTACTTTGCAAAAAGGGGTCATTTGGGGGATATCTGTACTGTGCTGACATTTCTGAGGATATCTGTACTTTCCTGACATTTGGGGGATATCTGTACCGTCCTGACATTTGGGGGATATCTGTACCGTTCTGACATTTGGGGGATATCTGTACCGTCCTGACATTTGGGGGATATCTGTACTTTCCTGACATT